GGGCCGGTCAGCCTGCACGCGCCTCCCGGCCCCCCGCAGGCCACGGGCCCCCGGGTCCCGGCCAGGGCTTCCAGCGGGTGTGCTGGGCTCGCGACTCTCAGCTTCACCTCAGACCCTGACCTCAGGGGCGGGTGGGGGAAGGGCAAGATCCCCAGGGTTCCTCTGCTTCGGGCCAGAATCTGGGACCCCCCACCCCCCGCCCCAGGGTTTAGGAGCACCCCGCTAGAGCTCTTGCACCTGGAGGAGCAGCCCCGCGCCCGCAGGCCTGGAGCCCTCACCAGTTCTCGTTGTTGATGTGGTCCCCGAAGCCCGGCGTGTCGATGACTGTCAGCTTCATGCGGACACCTTTCTCCTCAATATCTGAGTAGACCACAGAGCCCACCCGGCTCAGGGGGTGGCCCAGGACCCCAACACACCCAGTGTGCCACCCCACCTGGTACAAGGAATCCCCGGCTGCCTGGCCAGCCCTGTCCCAATGAGGCCCACTTGGGGCACCCCAGGGTGATCAGCAATGACACCCCAGGTTACGCCAGGGACATGAGAGCCTCCACTGGCAGAAGTCCAGCAGGGGCTGGTGATATTTACCTGGGCGGCCCTGCTCATGATTTCTGGTGAAAAATGCAGTTGTCTCTATGAGCTCAGTCTGACTGGGGCCACAGGAGCCCCAGGGCTGACCCCTCACCCCTGACCCAGAGTTAACATGCCCAGAGGTATTGCCTAGAGGTATTTCTGCAGGTTCCCAACTCAGGGGACCTGGGGTCCTGGCCCGGCACCCCAGCATCCAGCTTCACGAAGGAGGGAGGTACGCCCAGCCCAGCCCAGCCCAGCCCCACTCACCGTGCGTGATGGACTTGATCTCTATGGTCTTGGGGATGCGCTCCTCGGAGGCCGGCTGCTGCACCGACTTCCGGCTGATTTTGGATTTGAAGAGGGTATTGATCAAGGTGGACTTCCCCAAGCCGCTCTGCCCTGGGGGGAGAACGGGCTGTCGGCAAGGGTCGGCGGGGCACGGCGGGGCTCTGGCCAGGCGTTCACGGGCCCTGTGACTCAGCAATGTTGGGGCATCACCCCCAGCACCACTCAGTGGCGGGGCTCTGGTCAAGGAGAGCCAGGCAGCGCCCAAGCTCCCACAGCACATGGCCGGACCCAACACCTTCTGACCACAAGGGGCCCACTCACTCTTTGCAGGTCTCAGGCTCCCTCCTGAGAGAGGCTGAGATGCAGAGCAGGATTGGGGGGGACTGGCTCTGCAGGTGCAGCTCCACCCTTAGCTTCTGGACACACTGGTTCCACATGAGGCTCAGAGGGAAAGCTCTGCCCAGAGCCTCCCACCCAGGACTCCAGAGGCAGGCTCTGCCTCCCCCATGGAGGGAGGTCTGTGAGCTTCAATGGTCCAACCACGGCCAGGCCGCCCATGCTGTGGGGTTCCGGTCCAAAGACCCGGGGGCTGGGCTCCCAGCCTTTGGAAACATCTAGGTTCAAGTGCTGGCATGCTCAGCACGCGGCCAGTGACCGCCAGCCTCGGTGAAAGGTCACTGGGTCACTTCCTCCTGGTGCAGGAAGCTCAGGCCCTCATGGGACTAGAGGCCAGGGCTCGAGTGGAAGCGAGGGGGACATTTCAGTAGAAGCTGAAAGGAGGAGCCCTGGTTTCCCAAGCGCCTGCCCAGCTAGGCCGCCCTCCACGAGCTCTTCCGGGGCTCTGAATGCAGGGGCGGCGACCCCTCAGAGGAGCTGGGACCCTCAGGCAGGCACAGGGATGCACACACAGTGCCACCTGCAACCAGTCCCGCAGGCCGGGTCTGTCACCCCCATTACAGAAATGGGGACTGGGCCCGGGAGTGAGTGCTGGCCCACAGAGCCACCCCGGCATAGGGGTGGGGTTGAGTGGCGCCCCAGGGGCGGAACCCACCGACCACCATGATGTTGAACTCGAAGCCCTGCTTCATGGCCTTCCTGCGCATCTGCTCTAGGATGGAGTCAATCCCCACATAGCCGAAGTCCACGGGGGCCTTCTCGTTCCGAGGTGCAGGTGCCGGCTTGAGCCCGGCGTCTCTGGGGGTGTCAGCCATGTCGCCAACGCAGCCGGGAGCTGCCTCGGTGGCTGCGGAAAGAAGAGCAGAGGTGTTAGGGGTGACGGGGGTCATCCGCAGGTGCCCACCAAGCACCTACATCCTCAGGTGGCTCCAACCATCAGCCCCATTTTTCAGATGGGGAAACTGAGGCTGCCCAAGAGATCCTCGAGTAACACTGGAAGTTGAAGGCCCTTGCCACGGTGCCGTGTAAAAGGCACTGACCGTAGGCAGCCACGCACCTTGGCCCTCTGAGCGCCACCTGACTCTCAGACCTGTCCCCTCTTTCATCTCTGTCTCCACCAGCCTGCCCCTCCCTAACTCCTCAGCACCTGAGCTTCACCCTGGAGAACTGCTCAGAGGAGGGCAGGGCCCGGGGTATCCAGGTGGGCCCCCCTCTCCTTCACCTGCCTCAAAGAGGCCGCACCATCTGCTGCAGACTCAAAGCCTCAGGGCCCCTCAGGTCAAGCAGCCTAGGCCAGGACAGAGGGAGGACAGCCTCATGAAAACGGCGGGGAGGGACCAGCAGTGTCCATCCTGCCACTCCTGGGTGAAGTGAATTCAATCCCAGCTACCGGCCAATAGTCCTGGGGTGGGCGGGAGTGCCCAGTGGGCTCCCTGAAGGCAGAAGTACCTGTATGCAGAGCCACGCTCCCCCCCCCC